TGGAAATAATAATGAAAGTTGATAAACTTTTAATAAGCAGCGATGCCTTATCTTTACTATTTAAATGGGAGAATGGTGTTCAATTATCAAATAGCACCCATAGCAACTTAACTGTTGCTAAGAAAAAATCGTATTCACTGAACTCTGCACAAACAGATAAAAGATTTTACATAGTTAGCTACATTTTTCTCACGCTGTTGCATTTTCAACTTCGATTAAAATCAACTTTTTCAGAGGTCACAATCACAGGGTTGTGTTCCCATCCCTAATCCCTATCAGCTGCCTTTCATCCTTTGCTATGGTAACTAGCCCAGGAAGAGAAACAGACCTGGCTTGGATGACCATTAATTTGTACAGTGTGTTCCTTCCTTCTTTGTCCTTCTCTGCTATCTCTTGACGTGTCTCAGTTTCATGCTGCTACATGGGTCATTCTTCTCTGACCATAGCAGAGGTGGTATTCAGCAGGTTCTGACCAGTTCTGGAGAACAGCTAGCAGAAATTTTGAGTAGTTCGGAGAACCAGCAAAGATCACCTCTGACTGGCCCTGCCCCCATCTATTCTCTGTCTCCCGAGTCCCAGCTGGTCAGCTGGGTCTTCTTTTGTTGCCCTGGACAGGAGGACAGAGATGGAAAGCAGGTTTGTGGGGTGGGGAGGGAATGGAGATTTTGCAATATCCTTCCTCTGCCACGCCCACCAAGCCACATCCACAGAACTGGTAGTAAAAAAAATTGAATCCCGCCACCGGACCATAGCCTTGATTCTGAAAAGAAGTACAGACACAACAGCCATAAATGACCAGGTGCAGTAGAAGTGAGACGAAGCAACGGAAGTCATAGGTCTAACCATACATGATGGTTCACATGAGAAGATCTTTGTTTTTTCTGAAATCATTTCTAAATTCCCAATATTTGTAACTGCATGATCAGTTATATCAGGAGGTAGTGAGGTGAAAGAGTATGGCTACTACCTACAAATTGCATAGTACAGATTAGACTCAAATTTGTCCTTCATAATCTAGAGCGGGCTACCCCAGATTATGGAGGGCACCATTTGGCACAATTTTTTTTAGCTGAGTCTAATCCAGGGGTGTCAAACTCACCTCGTCCCGGCGGCATCATATGACATATCAGGACTTTTTCCCCCTTCGCTAAACCAGGCAGTGATGCATCCAGCCCACCGGCCGGGAGTTTGACAGCCCTGGTCTAATCCGTTCATTGTGTTACACCACTGAACACATTTATTTGGGAGTAAGAAACTGAACCAGTTTGATCTAGTCGTAAAGACACCAGGCTAGAAATCAGGAGACCATGAATTTTAGTTCTACCTTAGGCATGGAAAGCCAGCTGGGTGACTTTGGACCAAGGAGATTGTGAGTTCTACTCCTGCCATAGGCATGAAAGCCAGATGGGTAACCTGGGACCAGTCATTCTCTCTTAGTTCAACCCACCTCATAGGGTTGCTGTTATGGGGAATATAAGAGGAAGTGTTGGATATGTTCACCGCCTTGATATCAGAGACACCCATCAAGCAGAACACAGCAAACTCCGAGACCAATAAACACAGACCAAGACTCCCAACCAATCAGGATGAAGAAAAAACCATTCTGGCACAGCAATAGGCTGTCCCAAATTTAAATCTGAAACCACTGTAAAAGTCTGACCCACAGACGGACACAATACAGAAGCCTGATGATGGCAGATGAGATTCTGCTGAAACGTTGCTACAACTTTAAAAGAACTACAATGACGTGGGAAAATACCCGAACCAAGCCGAACGCCATACACACACATATATATATACACATATATATATATATATATATATATATATATATATACACACACATACATACATACACACACACACACACACACACACACATATACATACATATACATATACATATACATACATACAAACATACATACATCTGAAAAAGAAATAGTTGAGTGGAAGGCCACATTCCATTAAGTGAAGTTTGCCTTAGTAAATTAAAACTCTCTTGTGTGTCTCAAAATAGGAGAAGTTAATTGTTGAACTCCTTCTCTCTGTCACATGGTGTCACCCAAAAGCTGCTCAAGGGAGAATTCTCCAGGAGAAACAGAAATTTGGAAGCAAGGAAGCACCCAGACATAGCATGAAATAAAAGATTATTGTCACACTAAGTCCAGCGTGAGATATTTCCTAGGATTGTGCACTGTTTCAGCTTTGAAGGGCAAGACGGAATTTGGAGCTTGAATGGAAGCACGTGGTCTTATTAAGGACACTTCAGACCAAGTATGGCTTTTCCCAGGATCACATGGCAGCTGTATGTGCCCAGGGGAATAAAATTTGGCTGCTTGAAAGGGCTGAGCACACACCCATGTAAACTCTGGATTATTATTATTTTTTAATCCAAAGCACTCGTCTGCGTGCGAGACTGTAACTTCAATACATCATAGACTCATATTTACCCAAAAAGAACACAATTCTGAATTGAAAATTATTCTCCTTAAAGAATAAAAACAATAACAGAAAAACATATAAAAGAGACAAAAATTATGAGTAGCCAGGCATAGGACGAGACTGTACAGGAATTTATTTAGGATTTTACTTGAAGTCTTTCTTCAAGAGCATCAATTGATCCCCAAACTTCTGCATAACAGCAGAAAAAAAAGGGGGGGTTGTAATTCTTTGATATTTCAAGGTTCAGTGGAGAACAGTTTTGATAACCTCACCTGTGGTCAATGGCTCATGTAGTGAAACTTTTTAAAAATAGGTCAATATCCTGAAATTCAGAACAATCTCCCTTGAGAGGATTAATAGCAAGGCTTGAATCACAGCAAAATCGATAGAAGAGTTCCATCAAAATGAAATGTGGCTAGCCATTTACTGCCCCAAATTCATCTGCAAGAAAATCGGGATGTGGTGGTGCGTTCAAAGGCGTTAAGCCCAACTTAATGCACACAAAAGAAGAGCAAAGATGAAAAAAAAAAATGCAGCGGTTGAAATTGTTGAAACGATGCCAGCTTGTCTTTCTCATGATAGAGCTTGTATTTTAAAAAGGGTGTCTTGTGCTGTTTCATTCACCCAACTATCCCTGAAGAAGTGACTTCTCATAAAGAAAAGCAAAAGTCACCAAACCATACGTGCACAATGGCCAAGATTCAGCAACCTCAGTAATGATGCAACTTAGAACATTTTGACATATAAAACCACAACATTAATTTCCTTTAGGTTGCTATAAAAATCTATTTGGGCAACTTGAAAGTAAAAACGATGAAAATGAAATCAGGATATAAGCAATCATCAGTGAAGCTAGCTGATTAAAAATATGGAGATTTAATAAAAAGATGTACTGTGTAGTCCTAGCAGCCATTTTGACTTTTCTGACATCCTTGCTGCCCATCTCTACTCCCTGCCATGCCCCTTAAGTTTCTAGGTTGCTTTTCAGTTCAAAATGGTAAAACCAGGACATTTTGTCCTAGTTGAATTGTTTTAGGATTAATCTTGGCAAGTCTTCAAGAAACTTTCTACAATACTAAGAACTAATTCCGTGGCAATTACCTTTGAGGAGGTAGATTTCCCCCTCTGCACTAAGTGGTTGACTAAGGGCTGCATCATGTAAACCTACTACATAATATTTGTAAATCATACTTGGTGGCTAAGCCCAGCCACTACAGCTTGTTGAACAGACTTTATAAAAGCAAATGGCAACTTAGTGTGGGAACTTCTCTATAACTGTAAATGCCTTAATATATAAGTTACTGAAATCCACCAGTTTGTAGTAATAAAGAAACAATTTCATTTTGAGGCATTGAAACATAAACTGAAGTACCGTAAGTATGTCATGCGTATAATACTATGCTGATTTACTCAGGGGAAAGCCTTATTCTTTTCTAAGGTGGACACACTTTCTGTGACAACAGCTGAAAAATGTCCAAAGAATTAAATCAACAGATTGAAAGTGCCCATTGATGACTTAACTGTTATGCCAATATATTGCATTTTCTATTCAATTGTGGTAACTAGTTTTACATTCCCATCCAGGCAGGTCAATCAGCATATGCACTTTTAAGGCAAAAACCTGTGCCTTCTTATAGTTTTCCTGAGGGCAGTGCCTTCACTCATTCAGGCACTGTGCTAGAACAGTGTTCAAAAGTGCATCTACAAACTGTACACACATCATTAACAATTACTATCCTGGCTCATAAAAGATACAACAAGCCAGGGTGGCTCTTGGTAATATCCATCACCCACCGTGGGAGGAAACCCCAACAGGTGCAACTATATTGTACGCCTTATTCAGACTTAAGCCAGGATTTGCAGGGCTTCCAAAACAGCATAAACAGGGATTACAACCTACCTCACCTTTGTCTAAAACAGGATTCCGTAGTTGGGGCTCATTTCTTTAAAGTAACCACAACACTTCCTGTACACATCAGCAGAGATCACTATCTTCAAAATCAACAGCCCTAACGCTAAAAGAGTAGAATACGACAGAGCTATACTTCCTAACGGGAATGGTGGGAGAATTCGGAGTGACTTTAGAAACGGCTAAAAAAATCATTTCTCCCAGGAATTGAAGAGCAGCAGGCGCGCTTTTCGCGCCCGCGACGGTTTCTGATGTTTTAAAGTTCCTCCTTAAAATGTAGCAACAGGCTACAAGGAGGGGGGGGGGGCAAAAACCCCACTCTAAACCCTTGAGGGTTTGTATGACAGGCAAACCCCCACGGAGCCACAAAAAAGAGAGTTGTGTTTTTCTGCAAAAAGTAAAATCAATTAAAAAACAAAAAAACCTGCCTTCGAAAAAACTTTTCGATGCACAGCCTGCTATATATAATACGGCGCACAAATCTCACGCAACGCCAAACCTCGCTGCATTTCAGTTCCTCGGCCTTGCAACCCTGGAAGAGATCCCGATTTCGCTCCTGCAGCGAAGGTGCCGACCCATTGACTCCCGGCCTTGTCCCGTTTCGGAACCCAATAAAGCCCGACTCTCGATCTTGAGGAAAACTTACCGGCGTGGGGAAGCCTTGTTCCTTCTTTGGCTCGGATGCCCGCTTGCCAAGTACTTTCCTTCCGCCTTTCCCGGCACCTCCCCCGGCCACCTTTTTGGAAACGGGGATGGGGCGGTTGTGAAGGAAGGGGGGGGAAACACACACACACACACACACACACCGGGGAGATTTGGGCGGCTTAGAGTGCCGAAAAAGTCAGTCGGCTTCTAACTTGGCACCGCCCTCGGCTCGGGGAAGCTGCTGCCTCTACAGGCCGACGGGAGGAAAAAAGGCGTTCCTTCCCTCCCTCCCGATCGCCGGCCAGGACAGGTGCGGCGGAAGGTAGCCCGGGAAAAAGAGAGCGAGGACTCAAGGGCGCTGTGAAACCTTAGCAATAGCACTTCAGACTTTATATACCGCTTCACAATGTTTTTACAGCACTCTCTCTTAAGAGGCTTTGCAGAGTCAGCCTGTTGCCCCTCAACCATCTGGGTCTGGATTTTACAACCACCTCGGAAGGATGGAAGGCTAGGTCAGCCTTGAGCCTGGTGAGATTTGAACCGCCAAATTGCAGTCAGTCAGCAGAGGTAGCCTGCAGTACTGCACTCTAACCACTGCGCCCCCCCTCCGCTTGCACCAACTTCCTTGTTCCTTGGGTGGCAGACTGATTGCTTTCCATGGTAAAGGTACCGTGTTTCTCCCACAATACGACCTCCCCCAATAGGAAGACCCAGCATGTTTTCTAGGCATAAAATGAAATTAAGCCCCTCCCTCCCAAATTTAAACCTATTTTAAAACATGCAAAATGGGGGGAAGGGCGGGGGGACTTGCCGTTAGGAGCGCCCCGCGGGCAGCAATTCCTTGCCACCAGCTGCTCCTAATGGGCGATCATGGCAGAGCACGGAGAGCTCCCTACTCCTGCCAAGCACCTTTGCGGCAGACCCAAGACCTTCAGCGCCCGCTGCTGTTGATTTCCCTTCTGCCCATGCCGCCGCCGCATTTGGAGCTGCCGCTTCCGCGTTTGGAGCACTGCCACTGTTTGGAGCACCACCGCCATTTGGAGCGATGCCGCCACTCCAAACACGGCGGCAGCTCCAAACGCGGAAGTGGCAGCTCCAAACATGATGGCAGTGCTCCAAATGGCAGCGGCACTCCAAACACGGAAGCGGCAGCTCCAAACATGACGGCGGTGCTCCAAATGGCGGCGGCACTCCAAATGGCAGCGGCACTCCAAACAGGGAAGCGGCAGCTCCAAACGTGGCAGCGGAATGGGCAGAAGGGAAAGCAACAGCGGCGGGTGCCAAAGGTCTTGGGTCTGCAGGAAAGGTGTTTGGTGGGAGTAGGGAGGTCTCTGCACTTCGCCATGATCACCCGTTAGGAGCAGCTGATGGCGAGGCTGCCCGCGGGGCGCTCTAGATGAGGATGCAAGGGGGGGGAATTAAGTCACCCCCGAAAAGACGGCCTAGCCGTTTTTTCGGGGCTCAAAAAAATATAAGACCCGGCCTTATTTTATGAGAAACACGGTAGTCCCTGACTTACATCAGTGTTCGTAACTTCGAACAACAGCACTGGAAAAAAAAGGGCCACTTGGTTGTGACCCTTTTTCAGACTTGCTACCCATTGGTCACCGTGATTTACTTTCAGATGCTTGACCACGGGTTCATATTTATGACAGTGCCCCGGTGGAGGGGGGGCATGCGATCCTCTTTTGGGACGTTGGGACGAGCCAAGTCAAATGGGCAAAGCCAGATTCGTTTAACAACCGTCTTACTAAGTTAACGACTGCAGCGATTTCCCTTAACGAACGGGGCAAGGGAAATCATAAAACGGGGCAAAACTCACTGAACAAATTTCTCCCTTAGCAACACAAATTCTGGGCTCAGTTGTGGTCGTAAGTCGAGGACTACCTGTAAAAATAAAAGTGACCAGGTCTTGAGAGACGAGTTGTGCGGTTCCTTTGGAAGGTTGGCTGAAGATTCTTTTTAAGGCTCCCAAATGGAAGAAAGAGCTATCATGAAGGCCACGGATCTCTTCAGATTCCTTGTCTTAGCAGACCGGTTTATATTGTATTTGATAAAGGTGTCACTTTAATTAATGTATTTACTCACACATGCATACACACACACACACACACACACACACTTAATGTTGGCTACATCTCCTACCAAAACAGCTAAGATAAAACCCAAACCAGCTCTTCAGGCAATCAGGCCACACAAAGTATTTACTGATGTAGAAGACGGATAAGGAAATACATGCAGGCTCTGTGCCAAATTTTCTTTTCATGACTCACTTTGAGTCCCTGACCTTCCCATGTTGCGTGGCAGGATCTGAAGCAGGTTACTATTTGTGGGGAAAAAAATATGTTGGTTTTTTTTGCAGTTATATGACTTGATAAAGCTGAGTCTCTGGATATTTAGTCAGTTCAATTCATTGTTGAGTGACTAGCAAATTTTAAGACCTGAATGAATGCAGCCAATCTGACCTTTAAATATGGATAAATATTTTCTGACTTGATGAATGTGGAACAGTCCAAATTTGGCTTCCATATAACTGTAGGGTGAAGTTCATTTATGCAGAGGTCCCAAATCTATCTTCAACTAGAAGAATCAGTAACAGGATATGTAGAGTAGTTTAGAAGCGTGCAGTTATTACCCATATAGAAAAGGTTATGCACAGAAAGATTATAAAATAAATAAAGGGAATATTTTTAGTGTAGTGATTAAGGTACCAGGCTAGAAAGCAAGAGAGTGAGTTCTAATTCTGCTTTAGCCATGAAAGCTAAGCTGGGTGACTTTGGGACTCTGAACACAGGTATTCTACTTCCATTCTACTTCCATCTTAGGCACTAAAGCTGGCTAGGTAACTTTGGGCCAGTCACCAGGAAACAGTGAATTCTAATCCACCTCAGCCATGACAGTGAATTCAAGTCCCTCCTTAACATGAAAGCCAGCTAGTTGACTTTGGGCCAGTCACTTACTCTCAGCCCAGCCCACCTCACAGGGTTGTTGTTGGGGGAGAAGGAGTGGGGAGTTATATAGGATGTGTTTGTCACCTTGAGTTGTTTGTAAAAATAATAAAAGTGGGATATAAACAAATAAAAGAAATAATATTTCCCACCTAATTGGTATCATTCAGCCATTGACTAGATTGTCTTTATTATATCCTTCCTGGCAATGAAAACAATACCGCTCCTTTTTCATTTTTTGGCTCCTGAGTAGTAAACAATTTAATCTTTTGTCTGGCTGTGCAGTCTCTCCTTGAAAACCTCCAGCGATGGAGCACTTACAATTCTGGGAGGCAACCTATTCCATTGTTTAAATGTTCTCACTGTTAGGAAATTTCTGCTTAGTTCCAGGTTGAATCTCCCTCTGACAAGCTTCTAGTCCTGCCCTCAGGTGCTCTGGAAAAAAATACTCCATGGATTAAGCTCCTGTTTGTGCCACATAACATAATATTTTAACTGATTGTTGTGTGAGGTATACCCCAAAAGGATAATGCCAGAAACCTCACAGCACCAGAAACCTCAGAAAAGAGTACCAAGAAACTCAAGCCAGCCCTTTCCCCTTTAAGAAAACCAAGAATCACCAGCTGAAAGAAAAAACTCAGAGCAGCCTGCTAACAGCTGTTAAAAACAAAAGCTGACCACAGAAATAGTTAAGTAGAGCCATGAAGATAAGGGGAATCAAGCTAAAAATAAACACTCCAAGGTAAACCAAAACTCCCTTTTTCCTCCGCCCCTGACAAGATTAATTCCCAGGATAGAAAAGACAAAAGTCCTAGGACAGGATTAACCCATTAAGGCAGGAAGACAGGTTCCAAGATCCAGGACAATCACTTTAACTAGAGGCACACAAATAAACCCATCAAGCTGCAGGAGCTTCAAAGGGAAATTAAGCATAAAAGGTTCATAAAGGAACAAACTCAGGAAAATTTCTTCCAACATTTTATTATCTGATTGCAAAGAGATCTGCGCTTGGGATGGCTGAAGCTGCCAGTGCTGGGTAGGATATTCTGTGCAGTAGCACAGCACCTAATTTGCAAAATGTCTGTGGAGATTTTCAGTCCTCCAGGTCATGGTTGTCTCAAAGGCGCTTTTTTTCAAGAGGCTACTGGACTTTCTGGGGGGGGGGGGTTTTCAGCTCAGAACTGAAGAAGCTTCTTGGATGAGAAGCAAAACATCTTCAAAGAAAAAAACAACCCAGAAAGTCCAGTTGCCTCTTGGAAAAAAAAGCACCTTTGCAACTTGTATCACTGAACCATTTTGATGATGATGTATCGAACATTCTGCTCTGAGTGGGCTTTAAGTAGAAAAAATTAAATGAACAAATTGAAATAATTTTTTAAAAAACACCCTTGGAAAATTTCTCTTTACGCTACTAAAAGCCTCTTTCTGTTGTTGTTTGTGGACTGAAAATACAAGTGATAACTTGCTGCAAAGCTTCATTCAATTTCTTAGATTTCAGTGTGCTTTGTAAGGAGACATGTTTCCTTGTCTGGTGTTTTTGTCTTTTGTTTCTAACTATATAAAAAAGTACTGTTCATAGGCACAAATTGTTGGAAATTTTTCTTGTACACATAGTCTACTAATACTATTGCTAAATTTGAAGATGATACAACAGTGGTGGGACTCATTTCCAGGCGGGGGGGGGATGAGTCTGCCTATTGAGATGAGGTGCACCGGTTGCTTTTGAGTGTGGAGACAATAACTTGGTCCTCAACACCAATAAGACCAAGGAGCTTATAGTGGACTAGAGAAAGAACAGATCAGACATCCAGCCCTTGCTTATCAATGGAGATCGAGTGGAGCAAGGGGCCAGTTTTAAGTTTCTGGGTGTTACCCTAAAAGAGGACCCGACCTGGGGTGCCCACACTGCAGCCCTGGTCAAAAGGGCCCAGCAGATATTATACTACCTGAGACTTCTCAGAAAACAACAACTGAATGAAAAACTGATGGTGACCTTCTACCGCTGCACCATAGAGAGTATCTTAACTTACTGCACCTCTGTATGGTTTGCCAATTGCACAGTGGCAGACAGGACAGCACTCCAGAGGGTTAACGTCATTGCCCAGAAAATCATTGGTTGCCCTCTCCCCTCTTTGGAAGAGCTTTATAGCTCCTGCTGCCTTAAGAAAGTTCAAAACATTCTCAAAGATCCATCTCATCCTGGGAACCCTTTT